CCAAATTTGGCCCGCGGGCCAGAGTTTGACACCTATGGTCTAGAGCCTTCAGTTTCATTGTATAATTTACACTGCAAATTAGTGTCAATTACTGAGTTAGGATGCTTGAGTGCATTTGTATGAACTCACTTATATTTCAAACCATTCACCTCCATGGGGGAGAACTAAAAACTACTTGCATTAAGAAGAAAAAAAAATCTCCCATGTATAAATTTGCACAGATTTTACAGTCAGGACACTTGACAAACAAGATAAGAGTATTTAAAGAGATGAACACATGAACACACAGACACACATGGCTGTTTAATTTGCAGACAGCAGATCCGTTACTCCCGCTGTCATCCTTTTTCCCCAATTCCTGCCAAAGAGACTGCCTGCAATTACCCCATCATGCACAACTAGAACTGTGGTGTGTGTGTGGTCAATGAAAATGAATCCAATGTTGTAGAAGTAATGGATGCTTTTGTGGATGTTGCACATTCAATTGATATGATCCCGTGTGAGACTGCACGTCTTTATGTGTGCATGAATGAAGGCTAGTTTGAGCTCTCTCTTTGCAATTATGCTGTCACTGAGACAGAAACATCAGGGTAGCAGCACACCACTATCAAGGCATTTACCCCTCTTGTGTGAATGCATGTGTGCTGTGTATGTTTTCTGCTTGCCTGTAAGAATACTTATCTGTCAGGTGGCTGTTAGACATATGTATGCTTATTTTCTTAGTCACTTTTTGCACCCCCACCACCCACCTTTTTTTTCCCCCCTTTAAACATTTGTCAGCCCCTGTCAGACAAACAGTGCACAGAATTTCATTTCAATCCCATTGTGTTTGCATGTGCAAGGGGAAATGTTAACTTTGACAATGTGTGATTTTCTTTTCTGTCTAATATGACTGTAATCGCTTGCAGGCCTCTGGGTTGATGTGTTAGTGTGTATGTGTGTGTACACGTGTGTAAGGTATTCCCATCTATCTATGTGTATAAATCTCTTTTTATTTCACCTTCTTTTCCAGTTCAGAGGCTTTTGCTTCGCTGGTTTCCACCTTGGTCTTGTCCACCATATTGTCTGGGAACAAAAAAGATTAAGGACAGAGGATAGGGGAAGATAAGGAGGAAAAGAGGTGGTAGATAAGATAAGGGTCTTGACAGCACACCTGCATGTGTGTGACCGTGAAGACATTGTACCTTTCAGTCTGGCACATGCTGTGTGTTCACATGAATTTACAAACAGATGCGCGCGCACACACACGCACACACACACCATCTGTCTCCCCATTTTTTTTCCCTCGTATCACACTACTCAAAGTTAAGATCTGAGACGATTGTGGAGGCATCTCATTACAATCTGATGCTTTGTGTTGCATGCATGCTGCTTCTACCCAACATTAACTGCTAAGCCTTTAGTACATACACCTTTGTTTGACAAAAGGTCAGAGCCCATCAATTTCTCTCTGCGAAACAACGCTTTGCTTAGAATTCTTACAGTTACCAAGACTGATAAAATAAAAGACAGATAATGTCTTACTTCCAGACCATTTTGGAGGGGACAGGGTGAGAAGGACAGACTGACCAACAGGGTACTTTTACAGAATAATTGCAGGGTTTACAGGTGGTTCAGTGCTGAAGGGCTTAACAAGCATGTGCAGTAAAAGAGCTAATTAACATGAAGATGAATGCCACAATGTCACAGGATCAAAGAAAGCTAATCATGATGCCCAGGAGGGAGAGGATCAAGCAGAGAGATAGAAAAGATAGAAGGCTGTGAAAAGCTAAAATAGAAATTGAAGAAATTATGTGAACTGAAACGTGAACCCTACAGACTGGAAATGTGAAGTGTGAATCTTCAGCTGCAATGAAAATTGGGCTGCAGAAAAAGCAGCTGAATCTTTGAAAGATACTGCATATCTATATAAGCTAGCAAGCAAGGCAGGCAAAATGAAACGATTTTCGCAGTTGAAAGAACCTCACAACAATATACTCACCCACATAAAAATTACAGTGTGCATTTGTGTACGAGTTTATTGTGCAATGGATTTTTGTGTGTGGGGGGTAGGGGGGTGAGTGTGTAATGGTGGCTAGGCTAAATGGGACAAACTTCGAATAGAGAGCACTAAGGGAGACAGAATGTAGGAAAACAAACTGTGCTGAATTTCAGAGTTCAAAGAAAAACACTAAATAATGCATGCAGGGCAGAATTGGGCTGCTTTCCACCAATAATAACTCTGGCAGCCTTAAAGGAGGCCAGCCAGCCTGTGTGTGTCTCAGGACACATTTAGAAGCAGTGCAATTAGAGCCTCCTGCGGTGAGCAAAGGAAACCTGCCATAAAGAGCACTGAACTCCTGAGACATGGCCCACACCTTTATTTTGTTGTGGTTTAGGTTACTAAAGTCATTGTTTACAACCACCTCTCAAGTCAGCAAATCCAAGTGCACACATACTAGTGCTCACCACTTAACTTTCCAAAAGAACTAAACTGAAATTCATACCCATTTCAAACACCAATTTACTTTTTACTGCATTTTAATGTTTTTTGTTAAATGTATGGTATTAATACATTTAAAACCACACCTATCAAACCTAAAAGTTACCATGTAAGCAAATTCAAACTTTAGAACAACTGAGTGAAAAAAGTCACTTGAAAAATTGTGCTAAAACTAGGGCTGAACGATATATCGCATTTGCGATAATATC